AAAAGAAAAAGCAAAAACAAGGTTCTTGTACTGCTACTTCAGTCACAAAGCTTAACCTTATTTATCAATATACTTCGTATAATAAACTGGTTGCCAAGGAGATAGCTAACTTCTGACCTCTAAATAAAAAATTTTTAGCATGAAATTCTAGTTATAGGACACAATTTTTATTAATATTAAATATATGGAAGATTTTTGAGATACCACAGGCTCATATTTTTTGATAGGCAGCTTGGAATTTTCTTGATATAATTTTAAAAAAATAACTTACTTCAGTACTGAATTTATTTGCAATATACAATATTCAACGTAATTTTCTCTACAGTTATATTCTTAATTATTAACATCAGTTTTTGCATTATACTGATAAGAAGAGTCACAGATATTACGTAATATAATTTTATCATACTCTTACCCCTCCTCTACGTAAAATTTTTAACTATGTATATAAAATTTTTTTTCTTATATGAAAAAAAATTTTTTGAACCTCTCTCCTAGAGATATTATGTAAAATCTGTGACTCCTCTAATAATAAATTTTGCAAAAAATCACTATACATATAGTGGCGGCCAAAAGTTTTGCATCACTTGAAAGAAAAAAGTTAAGTTCAGATATCTTCTTAGCGATAAGTTATTTTAAAATAAATTATTTTTTATTTGATTTATCGAAATCAAAAATGATTATCACTAAAATTATGGTGCAATTGGATCACATGATCTTGCACCACAGTGTGATTTGTTGAGAAACTCCGATGCAAATCTTTTGATCATCCTAATTAAAATTTAATAGTGAATTAAACTTCAAGCAAAGATATCTTAAGTAATGACCCGGATAATTTTATTTTAAGTATATACGATTATTCTCTAGGTTTTTGGGACTCAAAAAATGTCTCCAAACATTAAATTCCTGTAAATCCTCATCAAGATATGCTCTTTTTTAGTAAAAAAAAATTTTGCGATTTGATTTTTATTAGTAATTTACTATTAAAAATCAAGTCTCAATTTCTTTTTGCTAAAAAAAAGAGCATATCTTGAGAGAATTTACCAGAATTTAATGTTTAGGGACATTTTTGAATCCCAAAAACCTAGAGAAAAATCGTATATACTTAAAATAAAATTATCCGGGTCATTACTTAAGATATCTTTGCTTGAAGTTTAATTCACTATTAAATTTTAATTAGGATGATCAAAAGATTTGCATCGGAGTTTCTCAACAAATCACACTGTGGTGCAAGATCATGTGATCCAATTGCACCATAATTTTAGTGATAATCATTCTTGGTTTTGATAAATCAAATAAAAAATAATTTATTTTAAAATAACTTATCACTAAGAAGATATCTGAACTTAACTTTTTTCTTTCAAGTGATGCAAAACTTTTGGCCGCCACTATAGTAGATATCAATTTTCTCAAAGTAAAACTATCTTTCTAATATTTCATGTTACATATTCATGTAATCGTACTAGTAAAGTTAAAAGCAATTTGATCATAGTGTTCTCTAAATCGGACAAAAAATACAATCGATTTAGTTGATAATAATTTTTTAAATTTGATTAAAAAATCGATTATACTCAACTAATCAAATAACTAATTACTAAATTAGTCGATTAATTGGTTGTAAAAAATTTCTTAATCAATTAGCTACCATACAGTGCTGCATACAATATCTCCCTAGAAAAGTACCCCCTTTGAATAGTATCGGAGTACTATTTAATCATAAATTTTAATATTTTTAAAAAGTATTCCAGTACTAATCAATCTTTAAAAAATTCATTTTTACTATATTCATACATTATGTGATTAACTCACCTGGTCAAAACTTTCATAGTATCCTCCTCGTATAGTACCTATCTCTTTACACAGTACCCCCGAGGTACTATTTAAAATACTGATACTTTTTAAAAAAGACCAGGGTACTGTATGCAGCGCTGTATAGTAGTCGATTGATCGATTGATTTATTGATTAATTGATTAATCAATTAATAGTCATTTGTTAAAGTTAATCGATTAGTTGAATTTGGAACACTATTTGGTCACAGAAAGGACTCTTTATATACAATATCTTACTAATTTGAGACTAATGGTTTGATTAAACTTTCGATACAAGAGTTTTTTGACTTTAAAAATATGCAGCTGACAAAAATAAAAATGTATAGAGTTCTTGAATCAGTGCTAGTAATCTTAAATGTAAAATTTTAAAATTTTTATTTTAAGGATATCAAAATGACTGACATCAATATTTCGTATTTTAATATGATTAAATTACATATTATCTTCAGTTTCTATTTTTAAGAAGTAGAATCTTTATATCAGTAAATTGTGTAAAATCACAAAAATGATTTTGAAGCATATTATAGATTGAAGTACCATAATATAAAACATATAACATAAGTTACTATATAGCGTAAACTAAAATACTCGAGGTACTTTATATTTAAGCTTTATATATAGGTGTTATAGTCAGTAGAATACTATAATCAGCCTAGGGATATAAGTTGTACTATATAAGTGCTACGATAATAGTTTATATAGTCTAAGTACAATTAAATTAGCAATTAATCTATTCTTAGTACCTAGAATACTTATATTCTAGGCTTCTAAAAATCGTGAGAGGTATTATAAAAGGAGAGTTTTTTAGTTCATGCTATATGATAGTAAGCTAATTGTTTCTATCTGCAAATGATATAAAACTTTTATACCTTATTATAAAAGTAATTTCTGAATATGCATTGTTGATGTTGATGCTAAGTTTATTATAAATATATAAAATAGAAGATAGTACGTACGCACGTATGTATATAATTTTTACATGTAACCTTGAAAATGAGTGATAAAAATTCAAATAGTTCAAATCAATTTATAAACTACTATCCACATGATTACTTACCTTATCGAACAACACCAAATGATTCTTTATATCTTCCTCCATTTAATCCACCTTTAAGAAATAATAATTTGGAATATTATATACCACCAATGCAAAATAGTCATTCATTTATATCACAAAATAATAATACTATAAACTACCAACCAAATTCTATGTATGTATCTAATGAGGAAATTACAAAAAAAATAGTTGGAGGATCGACTAAAGAGACAATTAATATGCTAAGCGATGATGAAATAGTTGATAAAGCAATTGATGAAATGGTTGATGAAATAGATGATGAAATAGATGATGAAATAGTTGATGAAATGATTGATGAAACGGTTGATGAGAATGAGCTTAAGGATTCTAATAACAGTACTCTTTGGTCACATTCTGATATTAATAAACTTCTTGACATATTGGCTATAAACTGGGAGTTATATAAGTCTAATAAAACTAAATTCTGTGCAACTGCTGCTATTAAATTAGGAAAAAATAAAACTGGAATACAGATAAAGACTAAGTTACAAAGCCTTAAAACGAAATATTCTAATGAAAAAAAGGAAGTTACTGGTAAAGCAACATCTAAATGGCCATATTTAGAAAAAATGGATCACTTATTTGGTAGTAGAGAAAATATCAATCCAGATTATTTAATTTCGTCTTTATCTTTAGATGAAAAAGATAAGGTATGTATATCTAGATTCAATATCATCAAATATAGTTCTATTAATTTCACCAAAAATTACTTTAATAACAACTTCTATTGAAAATAAATTTGCAAACAAGTTCATTTTACAGATAGTTTATTTCACTAATAGCTCTTTTTATCGATAAAGTAATTCTGGTTATTATAATTAGAGTTAATTAGTATAATTTATAAAAAACTTGTTAGTGAAATAAACTACTAGTGAAATGAACTTGCCGTAAATTAATAAGCTTGTCTATAAATTAATTGTTAGTGAACTAAGTTGTTAGTGAAGTAAAATAATATGAATCTGTTTTTTTATTATATAATTTATTATGTGATATAATAAATAATATAATAAATAGATATGACAATTATCAATTAACATGTTTTAACAACAAATCTGTATAAATTATGAAGTAATTATTATAATCGATTAGTAAGCGATTAAAAATTTGGTCAACAAAAACTATATTAATTTAGATTATTATTTTTTAGCTTACAGCCAGTAATAATAAAGATAAGAAAAAAAGAAAAATAAGTGATACGGATCAACTTTTTCTAGACGAATTAAATTATTTAAGAGAAGCCAAAAAAAAGTCATTAAAGATGAAAGAAGAAATATCTAAACAGAAAACTTCAGCAGAATTTGCACGAATTGATTTTGAGCGTGAAAAATTTAATAAAGAGTTTAATGAAAAAGTTGTGGAAAGACAAAGTAGAATAGACTTAGAGTATGAAAAATTAAGGATGGAAAATGAAAGAATTATTAAGCAAATGGAAATGGATCATCAATTACAAATAACAGAGCTTGAATTCAAATATAAATGTAAAAAAGATAGTGAAATTGAAAATGATTAGATATATGTATTTTTTTTCAGAATAAAATAGTAATAGCATGAATATAAGTTACAAAAAATTGATAAAAAAAATATAAAATTACAAAGAACGTATAATTTCGCAAGAAAAATTAGCCTTTTGTTATATTCTTCCTACTTTATATTATTAATAAAACATTAACTTTTAGATGAAAATTAGAATATAATTGTTTCTTAATTCATTATAGGACTGCCAATTTTTTTCATCATCACTATTTTACTCTTATAACTATCGTTATACATTTACCAGGAATGGAGTATGAAATACGAAGAGTATGGTTTACGAAAGAGTTAAATGGCGTGTCTCTTCTGTATCTGATTGGATGATCATTGTCGTGATTAAGGATTTCTATATTTAGAGCTTTGCCCCTTAAAACGTGTACGTACCAGTTTGGGTTCACATGATCTTCCAGCTACGTAATTAGATCGGACATCTATGTGCCCACGCAACCGGTTTTTTGATCAATCAGCATGTAGAATTTACACAAACGATCAGGTGTAATATTAAAATTAAAAAAACAAGCATTTTTTTCAAAAATTCACTTTTATCTTGAAAAGTTGTTTATGAAACCAACTTTCGTGCTCTAATAAAAAATTTTCCT